TTCTTCCTAATCTTTGTATTCCTTACCTATTTTGTAGCGGCGATGTTTAATTTTCGAAACTTCCTCTTTTTTCACCTTACCACTCGAACGAAGCTGCCTTTTCGCAAACAGCTTCTTCAGTTTCCCATGAGACTGAGGCAGTGTCTTCCTTGCGGTTTGTTTAGTTCTAACCATCTCCTAAAGAAAACAAAACTGTTAGAAAAATGTCACTATGCGTACTGGAAAGAACTAATACAACGCAATCTAATCAAACCAACAAAGCCAAACCATGCAAACAGATCAAACAATAACGAGAATGTGGACAAAATCAAAACATTTCTGAAGGATACCGAAGAAAAAATAAATAAAAACATGAAATCTACGCATAAAAATCAACTACCAATTCCTCTGCAATCAGCATATAAATTAATTTGAACTATTTACTATTAGCATTTGGAAATGATCCTTTAAACGTTCAATAAAAGTGCGCAAAGCATGTTTCAACTTGTTCTGTAGAACCAATAGAGCAGCCGTCTGAAGTCACCACACAATTCGAAAAACAATCCGCACCGCGCGTCACGATCTCAAATTGGCGAAACGCCACATTCAACTGGCTAGCTTAACGGTCCCCACGCTGCTGCCGCAGACAACAATGGCTTTCTCTGGCAAAATGCCAATCCTTTCAATTTCATGCGGCGGCACTGCGGTCAAAAAAGTCAATTAAATGCTTGCGGGCGGGACTCGCAACGCACATTACTTTGAAGAACGCGCTAAAATCAACTGTCTAACGGCATAAACCGAGCGACTCTCGCCGCAAAACGCGGCACTAATGGGCGAAAACTTCAGCGATAACCAGCCACGAATCTGGTCATTGACCTCTGTTACTGGTATGCCGGTTCCAAAAATTTCTGAAAACTGCGCCATAGTCGCTGCCTAAGGGCGCATAGCGCGTTTTTTAAAGTACGATAAAAAACAACACTGGATGGTCTCCAAGCTTGAACAAAAAAGAGATAACTAAATATAACATCTGAAATTTAAAGTTAACAACAAACTTTCGACAAAGAAGCTTTGAAGAAATTTTAACTTGAATAAAAATGCGCCGCAGCTAAATATGAATTCGCAAAAAAAATTAATTAAAATAAAGAAAAACGAAAATTTGAAGTATAATTATTTGAAACAATATCAGATTTAATTTCAAAACCTTTTTATTCAAACGAACAAATTCACAAAGACGAATAACAGAAAATTTCGAAAGTCCTTATACAGTAACGTACTCCACCGAATAAAGCCAAGAGATCGGCCGCTCCATGCACTGACGGTTTGGTAAAATGACTGTCGCGGCGTTTACATAACCTCGCGGCGTTTACATAACCTTGTGGCGCCTTGTATGCGGCCCATCTTCCATTCTCGCCTCAGGTCAATTTCTTTAACGAGGACTACTGAAGGCTGAATGGCTAGCTGGTTTTTGGAGGGGAAGTTGAGGAAAGGGACAGTGAAGGGGACAGCGGCCAAGAGGAAGGGGAAGACAACAAAGGGAAGGGGATAACGGCAATGAGAAGGGGACGGAAGCGGCGGCGCAGAAGGGCTGAGCGAAGCGATGCCTTGCTGGGCCGCCGCAACGTCTCTAGTCGCTTATTTACACGTTTATGTACATCTTAAAACGCTCGCTTGGATGTGGTGGTGCGGTGCAGTGGTAGTGCTCCTACTTTCCGTGCTGAAGCTTTCGATGTAGTGGTGCTGCATTGCTTCCAGTTTTCATGCTACAGCTTCTGGTTTAGAATCCGTAGCTGTGATTCTAACATCGAAGAAGGCTACATGTTGCATACTCGACGAGATCCTGCTACCCTTCTGCCAGTGATCGGGCAGTACGTTGTTCCAGGAACAACTATAGTGTCTGATCAGGGGGCTGCATATACTACCATCAAGGACATGTCAGAGGGATACCAGCAGGAAGCTGTCAACTACAGTCTCCACTTTACTGATCCTGAGAGCGGTGCTTGAACAAACAGGATTGAGTCTATATGGCAGAAATTTAAGGAGGGACACAAGTCGCAGGACGGGACGGAAAGAGCACTACTGAATTCGTACATGGACGAATTCATATGGAAAAAAATGTATGAGGGCAATGCGCTGCACCACCTCTGGTCTCAGATAGCTGAACACTATGCACCCCGAGGTTCCGTCTAAAAGTGCGGGATTATGTTTCGGCTCCTAATGGATCTGCCCTATGACAATCCAATTTTTGGAAAGTCCCTCGTATGAAGGGAGCTGATGCATCTTTCTCTCCAGGTTTTCCGACCTGAGAGAGAAGCTAAATATGAGTATAAATGTAACATCAATGTAAATGCTCAGATATACGCAAAACTCCCTCCTCCACCTTTGACAGGAACAAACCACCAACCTCTCTTTGAGGGTGTTGCATCGCCTACCACTGCACCTCACACTACCTGTTTCAGTCACCGCTCCAAAAACTGTTCTACGCTCCGTTGCCTCGTTTGCCTCAGACTGCTATTCCACGTTACCTAGTAACCTACTGCTACAAAAGGTCAATCCCGTATATAATGTCTCACACCTGTTACCGCTGCAG